AATTCCTTCAACACTCATAAAATTCTTATATTGGCTACCCTAAGAGTCCCTGTGAATTTTAAGTCCCCGGTTGTCAGACATCCAAAACCTTGCTGAGTCCATTAGAAGCCCCTGCCAGCGGCCTATCACCAATCATACAACCAGGTGGACAGTCTATCAAAAGTGAAAGTGAATTTTTAATGAGATCTGAACTTTCTCTTCAAGGGGCTGCACTTGAGCTACTACCGGTCTGCAATTCCTTACCCTACATTCCAAAATCTCAAAAAGTTCTGAAAACAAAGCTTGTTCATAAGCTGATGGCATCCACATTTGTCAGCAAACCCTGACACTCCTGGGTTACTTAGAGTTGTGTCCCTTTTGTGTCAACACTCTACAACTTGAGGCAGAAATATTAAGGTATTGATTTACAGGGTGTTGTTTCAGACTATCAATGGAGTTCCATAACATACAGTTTGTGCAACTTATCTTTCTAAAACCCCCAAAAAATCAGAGTTTGAAGGAAACATTTGTCCCACAGGGTTTAGTATATGGAGCTGTGGCCCCACAGTAGCCTGAACATGTGCCCAAGTTTCACGGGAGCCAGGAAAGTTTTGTGGATCCTGTGCACATTTCTTCAGTCTTTTAGGAAAGTGAGAATGTCTGGAACATTCCATATCCCAGTGAAGGGAAGCAAAGCTCTGAGACTAAAATCCTCCAGGTCCTCCTTACAAGAAATTTCTTTGTGAAAGACTGTATTCCTGCCCATAACCCTAGATAGTTTGACAAATGATGAATACATATTTCACTTCTGGAGTGATACATTTTCATTCCAAGCATTGTCTTTTATGGAGGAGTTGTGGGGGCGGGGTGGAGAGCAGGGAACAAAAGAAAAGATGGGCCTATTAGCGTGAAGGTTACATATGACAAGTACCAGAGGGTTCCTTATCCAGCAATATTAACAAGTTATCACATTTAGACAGTGATTCTCTGGATACAGAATTCACAGAGAAGTCAGGCGGGACTTCACCTGGGCTCTGCCACTTAAGGAGAACAGAACTTGCCAAAGAAAATGATGTTTCGAGTTTTGTTGTGCCTGATGAGGTACATAAATGGGTGGTCGGCATTGAATTCATCCTTGTGTTGTAGGATGCGTGATCCTGGCACCTCTATGGACTCCCCACCATCTTCCGTGATTTCTAAGCACACTCTGTGAATAACATTTGAGAGGGCCACTCCCTTGGTCTCTGACATTCCAGAGAAATCAGATGTATTCTCATTAAAGATATTTTTCAGCCCTAGGTTTTCCAGACCAGCCTTGGCATCAATCATCTTTTCCACCTTAAATTTTGGAATGGAGAGTTTGACTTTGGCATTGGCCATGGTGCTGGGATTGGTCCACTGCAAGAGCGTCTCTGGGTTGAGTTGTTTTTCAA